GGGAAGGGGCGAAAATACTGGCTAGCTGATTGGCCTATGTTGGTGATAGACGGGCCAAATAAACCAATCAGATCAACGAAGCATATGACGTACTAACAGAGCGCCGACGAAAACACAACCACAAGCCAGGCTAGTCTTGCTGCCGCAGGTAAAGGCTCGTTAGCTCAGCAAATAAGCAACATGTCGGCAAAGGATATTATATTTCAGTGAAGAAATACTCTGTAATTCCGATAAAACTTGCTCGATAGCCACGCTAACGCGTTTCATCGGCTGAAGCCGCCATGTTCTTTAGACTGAACTGTTGCGCTTCTCGTTGCGTCACACCTCAACCAGCCTCAAAGCCAACGCTGATTGGACGTTCGTTTGGTGAACGGCTCCAAATTTTCTTTAACGGAGAGTCTCCAGACTGATCTGCGAGTGAAACCTTGAAAGCTCGCGAGATCAGGATGGTCTCACGAGGCTAGCATGTTTTCTGCCAACAGACCGTCGCACAGAGCTACAAACTACCGTCATGCACGGTGTCTGGGATAGTGTCCGAGGTGTGCCAGGCGATGTGGACGGCCACAGTTTCTGCCATTAGGTATCAAACAGGAAATACGCATAATGTAGATTAGATTAGATGAGCTTTATTGATCTCACAGCGGAGTAATTCAGTGGTCACATATCGGCATAGTAATTAAAGAAGGTGCAAACAAGGAGGAAAAAGGTGCATTAAGAATAAAGGTTTGCAGGTGTAGATGTCGGGTTCATAAAATGTAGGTTTTTGCTTAAGAAGAACTGAAATACACAATTTATGGGTACAATTCCTGCACGAAGGAGAGACAGTTGAACCCCAGACTCTCACTGAACCTTCTTTGCAGAGCGTTTTATTAACAGAACATGACGCATGGTTACAAACAGAGTATTGTTCTGACAGAACAATTGATCAGTTCATGAAGACAAAATGCTCCATCAGAATGACAAGGCAGGATGGTCTCCTGACTGAATCATGAGACAGGATTGGAACATCCCCTTGCAAAAATGTTTCATAAACACACATTAATTTTATAATCATCATTGAATAAACCTAACAGCAGATTTGACCAATAAGAGGCCTCCTGTCTGCTGTCACCTACAATTTGGGGGGGGTGCAGCAGAGTGTCTGCGGAACGGGTGGGGTGCATATCTGCTTTAACTGCGACATGCATGCAGACGACCTGGTTTCTGAGCATAAATCAGCCTTAAGAGAGATGGGCAGGATAGAGTGGCAAATCATAACTAAAAGATGATGCTAAGCGGTTCGCTATATTTCTCAGATATAAAAAGAAAATCCAGCAGTGATATAAATAATCTTCATGCTCTCTCTGAATTTTCAGCAGTAAACAGTGAAACAAAGCAAATTGCAATAAATGGTTTTTGTCCTCAGGTCCTGCATCGCATCAGGTCTCCCCGTCTGTCACCGGCAGTTCGCTCCTAGCGGGGCTTAAATGCCAAAGTCTGGGTTCAAAAAGGAACAGAAAGTAAGGAGAAAGAGGACAGAGGGATAAGGCGCACAATATGCTGCATGACAGATGAAAGCAGATGCAATACATGCTGAAGACATTAGATGAAGAAAGGAGGCCGGGAGTAGACCAGATGGAGTGGGACGGAGGTTAGGAGGGGACAAGCTTGACCATAGCTTTAGCACCAGAGCAGATGACCAAGCAATGTGGTCAGAAGCTCTGTTTTAAGCTGATTGCACTGATGAGTCAGCTGAAGACAAGCATGCTGGTTGATGCGGTTCGAGTGCAGGAGTAGAAGCATATATATTTATTTTTCTAACAGCGAATCTTTCAGAAAATGGACACAAATAGAACAGGTCTCCACTGAACAGATGCTTCAGATCTTCCAGATAAATAAGATGTGGTGCACAGCTGGAACATCTGTGCATTGTCTCCTGATTTGATTCAGGATTACATTCAGATGTGCACAAAAGCTGATCCACCGTATATTTTGGTTTTACAGTTTTATTACTGCATATGTCCAATATGGTGGACCCTGAAGGGGGGGGTGAGACACATTTAATATTATCAGCGTTCTGATGGCATTTTAGCCAAAGGATTTTTATCAAAAACATAATTAATGTGCAGAAATAAGGAATAATTGTATTAAACATACATGTAACTAGGGGTGGAACGGTTCACAAAATCCACGGTTCGTTTCGGTTCACGATTTCATGGTCACGGTTTTCGGTTCGGTCCGGTATATGTTTGCTGTTACAACGAAAAATAAAAAAAAATAATAAAAAATTATAAAAATTAATGACATTTTTTTTTTTTATGAAATTAATGAAAAAATCCAAAAAATTTATGAATTGTAATTATTTTAAATGATCCGCGGAAACCCTGGATCATTTCCGTATGTTTTGCTGCTTTGGATTTAATCATCTGGCGCATGCTCTCTACCATCTCCAAGGAACTCAGAGCGGAGCGGACGGGAGCCACAGTGGAGGCTGTAGGCTTTGCTTTGAGCAGGTGGTCTGGAGCGCAGCGGGGCGGAGCGCTGACGGAGTATGAGGGATTTCAGGGTTAGCATGGCATGTTGGTCGTGTTGCTGTTAGCATAAACAAAACGTGTTGCACAATGCTTGCACACTGTTGCACTTTTATCCACAACTTTCTTTCCGCCGTCATCGTAGGTCACTCTAAATGCAAAGTGGTCCCATACAGCAGACCTATAAAGTCCTGCTGGCGCGTCTTCCAACTCCTGTTCTTTCCCACTCGCCATACCCACACAATTCTCCACAACAACTGATTTTTTTCTGCTACACCCGGCTAAGCTGCTTCGCTTCTTCTTCTTCTTGTTTACTACTGGTGGTTGGCTTTGGTCGCAGTACGGCCACCTTCTGCTCTGGAGTGTAAATGCTTCGCCTATGAGAAAAAGGAGCAGCGCATGAACCGAACGCAACACACGCGAACCGAACTGAGACAGTCGAACCGAACGGTTCGGACGGTTTTCATAAATCGTTCCATCCCTAATCTAAACAGAGTTTTATGGGGAGGAACTTGGTGCCCTAACTGTGCCTAGTTTTGCCTAATGGTGAATCCCCCCCCCCCCCCCCCCCCCAGTTGTATTAACAGCTGCACAGCTGCAATCTGATGCTATAAGTTTAAATGTGTCTTAATGTCTGAGCTAATTTTGTTCAGCTAATAGCTGTTGTCTAATCTTAACTAGTTATTCGTGATTGATTTATCCAAATGAAACTTGGGCTTTTTTCTCAGTTTTCACCAAATTTGGATCAAAATGTTGTTTTTGGTGGATTTGGTCTTAATGAGTAAAGGAACCCCTAATCATATTTAGGAGTGTAAATCACATCCATCATGGCGATTCGTTTCAGTATCGATTTCCTGACCCAACGATTCGATTATTTTCAATACTCAAGAATACACCACGATGCGATTCGATTAATCGGTTAAAAATGTTTTTTATTATTATTTTTTTTTACACCTTACAGGATAAACAAAGTTTCAAGTTTGAAATAAATCAATGAAAGCTGTAATATCGTCTATTTTTTAGAAACAGCAAATAACAGAAGTAGAAAAGTTGCATCAAAAAATACTGCACAAAATCAGTGCAATGAGTGCAATGCAATACCTCGGCTCCAGACGTCCCGCCCCCTCCACAGACGCTCCGCTGCTCCTCTCCCAGATTGTAGCTGACTGCAGACAGGAGGCCGGCTTGGTTTGTTTTTATGACAGAAATTGCGGAAAACAACTCGTGAAGTTTGACCCGCTAGAAGAGCGAGGTGCGTGAGAACGCTGGGACCCTTTTTCCACCTGGATCTCCGCTCTTTTTGCCCCATTGTCCCTCCGTCGTTGGACTAAACTCGCCCCCACTTCCTCGCCGCCTCGACCGTATCTAGACCCACAGCGTGTAGCACAGACCACGCTTCAATACTGAGCATAATTTAAAAATGTCTGCATCAAGCTCACTGCAACACACTGCTGTAAGAGTATAACCAGGAAGCGAGGTAGGAGGGCAAAATAGGTTTAGCGCCACCGCAGCACGGGAGGGAGAATTATGTCGATACATCAGATCGTCGGCTTTTGGATCGATGCATCGATACAAAACCATTATTATGTACACCCCTAATTATATTCTGCCTAAGGACCTATACAGCTTTAGACCAGGCCTAACCCAGAGGCTGTGAAAATAAAACATAGATCCTGCGATGGGACTCCCATTCCTCAGGTGTCAGATCTTAACTGCTTTGTTTTTACCAGCTGGAATATTTGCTGGTCATATAGGCTGTAAATCAGACGGGCTTTATGAGTTTAACGTGTGCTTTGAACGATGGCCGGTTGTTTCAAGGTTTCAGCCGGCTGTGATCGTGGAAGCTTGTCAGACACCAAACGCTCTGCTGCCGCTGCAGCTTTCACACGCTTTCTGACTCCGGAGTTATAAAACGCTACAGATGAAGCTGGAATTGATTTCCCCGTATGACTTTAAGAGTGCGGCCGCTCCTTGGCTGAATGGCTCTTCACTGTGATAGCTGTCCCTCATGACCTCTGCCTGCAATGGCAATGTGAAATGGTGGTGCTGTATAAGTGGCCGAAGGGGGCTTTGTGCAGACACCTATCAAAGGGCTGGGAATATCCATGACACTGAGATGTGTGTGTGTGTTTTTTTATTTTTTTTATCCAGCCGTCACTTTGAGACATGCGTTTACAGCTTCATGTTGTTATTTGCTGTCTGCTAGCTGCTGATGGTGATGGACTCCGTCTCAAGTGGGGCTTTTTTATCGTTTGCTTGTTTTCTTTTTTTTTTTTCCTGCTTTGATAGACTGAGAGGCATTGACACATGGATTCAAGACACACTGGAAATAACAGAAGCACACAGCGCTTTAATCTAAAATTGGCTTGTCATGGGCTTTATGAGTTTTACAAAGACAATAAAGCTGTTGTCTATTTTGGACTAAAGTGATGTCCCCCCCTGTTGTCGTGTGGAGACGCAATAAAAGCATTTCATCTTTTTTCTCCGCAGGTGGAGTCTCCACTGGCTGTGGACGCCGTGCTGGGGGAGGCGTCCTTCTCCGTGACGGATGACAAGGTTTCCATCACGGAGCTGCGAGTTCACGCCGTGTCGGGTCTGACCCTGTCCCTGCAGCCCAGCGTCGGAAACAGCCACACCATGGTGGCCAAGGCGTCCGGCATCCAGACCCTCACTGCTCTAAAACAGGTACATTATCCACCTGGGAGGAAACCGTCTTTCGGGGGAAAGACGAGAACAAATTAACCATAAAGCTCTGATCGATGAGAACAATAAAGTCTAAAAAAAAGAAATTGAAGTAAACTCATTCATACATGTTTGAAGTGAAAAGCAAAGATCCAGTACCTACCCATGTTGGGATTTTATCCCATTTCTTCAGTGATCTAAAATATTTTCGATTTCAGTCCAATTCCTGACTGTTGGAGAAACAAATCTAAGGTACACAAAACTTTAAAGGAGTTTTGGCCCCTTTCAGATCTGAGTTTAAATTGACCTAAACACCTATAGCTAAAACTCACACATGATCTGGACCATTATTAGCCCCGTGAGACCACCCTGATCTCGCGAGCTTTCAAGGTTTCACTTGCTAATAGTCTGGAGACTCTCCATTAAAGAAAATTTGGAGCCGTTCACCAAACGAACGTCCAATCAGCGTTGGCTTTGAGGCGGGTTGAGGTGTGACGCAACGAGAAGCGCGACAGTTCAGTCTAAAGAACATGGCGGCTTCAGCCGATGAAACTAGCGTTAGCGTGGCTATCGAGCAAGTTTTATCGGAATTACAGAGTATTTCTTCACTGAAAGAAGAGCAAAACACTGCTCTGGAGGCTTTTCTCAGAGGAAAAGATGTTTTTGCTCTTCTCCCCACTGGTTTCGGCAAGAGTTTGATCTATCAATTGGCTCCTCTTCGTCGTCGCTCTGTTAGTGCGTCATATGCTTCGTTGATCTGATTGGTTTATTTGGCCCGTCTATCACCAACATAGGCCAATCAGCTAACCAGTATTTTCGCCCCTTCCCAAAATTACTTCAACGGAAGTTGATGGATATGCGGAGCAAATCCATCTGGAGGAATCAGGTTAGACCATTACCACATTTAAATGAATTGTTCCTTGACATGAGGCGCACCTTTTAGTAAAACAATGTCCATAACATCTCTCTATGAGTTTTTAATTGATCCTGCTAACAACTCAACAGCGTTCCTGTCATGAACCGAGGACAGATGGACCCAGTATTCAGGAGAGACAGTCAGTAGGAAAGTTCAAAAGGTTTATTAAAATAAAAACAAAACAAAAGCGGAGCTGTGGCTCGAGGACACTGCAGGCAGGGGGGGCGGGGCACCGCCCAATCTCAGACACTCTAGGGAGGAAACACAGGTAAGTGACCACGATCAACCAATAGAAGATTAACTGTGTTGGTCACTTAACTGGTTTAACAGTCCAGACCACAGGTGTCCCAGTGCTGCAGTCCCAGAGGTGATGGTGGAAGCTGATCCTGGTCAGGGATCCAGAACAGACAGGAACAGACAGAGGTGGCAGGATCCAGACTTCCATGCAACCACAGGCTTCCAGGAGGGTTCAGAGTCTGACTGGGACCAGAAGCATGACCAGGTGGTCACGCACAGGAGCAGACAGGTTCAGGTGCAGACAGGCAGGCTCAGTGGAAGAGGGTAGCCGAGACAGGACGTGGAACCGGAACTTGAAGCAGACTTTAAACTGGTCTCCACCCAGGAGCCAGGCTTACTTAGATAAAAACTGAACCCCCCCCCCCATAATGAGCCAAAAACCCAGAGGACTCCGCAGGGGAGGAACAGTGAACGATCAGGAGACGAGACAAACACTAAAACCCTCTTTCCACTGGCTGCCAGGATCCAGGACATGAACCAAATAAAAACTGAACAGAAAGACAAGCAATGATCTGGCACTGAATGCTCAGGCTGAACTGAATATAAACCAGAGGAAACAGGTGAGAGGAATTAATTATAATGAGGCAGGGAGGGAAGAGGGCAGGTGAAATGAATTACTAATTAAGGGAGAGCAAACAGGCCAGATCATGACAGTTCCGTTTTCTTTTGTTTTTGTCTCCAGTAAAATCTCTCCAGACTTTTTGAGTCTGATGCTGAAAATAGTCACTGCTGCCCCCCTCTGGTTTAATTCAGTTCAATTCAGTTTATTTCTATAGCTCAAATTCACAACACATGTCATCTCAAGGCATTTCCTGGTTGGAGCTGCTTGCTCAGAGATTCTGTGTGGCTGCTCCTTACTCCCACATCTACTGTTTCTCATGGGAACCATTAATAAACAAACAAACCAAACACTCCAAAATAATCACTTCCATGTGAATCATTGACACAAATCGAATGGCTAATTATTATTTTAGACTAGACAAACAAGGGACTCATGTTTGTCTAATTTGAATTCATTTTTAATTTTTTCTTTTATGTGTAATGTTTGCTTTTTCTCCCCCAATATCTTTTTTTTCAGTTTATTTCTATAGCGCCAATTCACATCATGTCATCTCAAGAAACTTTCCAGTTCAACCAGATCATCCAGTCAGATTGGTTCAAAGTTTTCTATCTAAGAAAAACCAGTTGATTGCATCGACTCATTGACTCTTCAGCAATCCCTCACACTAAGCATGCTTGTAGCGACAGTGGAGAGGAAAAACTCCCTTTTAACAGGAAGAAACCTCCAGCAGAACCAGGCTCAGTGTGAGCGGCCATCTGCTGAGGCTGACTTGGGTTCAAGGAGACAGAAGCAGACATAGAAAAAGAAGCATAGATACAAAGGCGGCTCCGTCCAGGAAACACACAGCCAGGCAGACGAGCTCCGAGCCAGCTCCCATGTCAGAGGATGAAGAGAGCACATCCAGTTAGTCACAGTCAGAGAAACAGGACTACACTGGAAAACAGGCCAAGCTCCAACATCTAGAAACAAAGGTGTTGATGGCAGCAGCACAGCTGATATTTCTCTCCAGGATGGAGTCACAGCCAAACAGGAACAGACCAGGTGAAGCTACTATGAGAAAAAGCAGAGAGAGCAGAACGTTAGAGATTGAACTAACAGATTCTGCAGAGTGGGAGAATAGAGATAGAATGAAGCAGAATGATGAAAAAGGGGTCCCTATGTCCTCCAGCAGTCTAAGCCTATAGCAGCATAACTATAGAGATAGCTCAGGATAACCTGAGCCACTCTAACTAGAAGCTTTATCAAAAAGGAAAATGTTAACCCTTAAAAGTAGACAGGGTAGAAAAACCTGTATCCAATTCATAATCTGGATACATGCATAGAGAGGTGATTCTGTGGAATGGATTCATTGGGATCCCAACCTCACCCAAAAACAGTGCGCTTCAATGTGTTCACCGTAATAATGTCTGTTCCTCCCTTTTACTGTGAACTCCCTCCCCCCACACCCACCAAAACATTGCTAAAAAAATCTAACAACAAGCTCAAGTAAGAGAGAGACACACTGGAGTTAAATCCCAATTTTTCTTGCTTTCTGCTTCTTGGCCACCTTGAAATTTAATTATTGTAATGTATTGTCCTAAGTGCTCTCCAAGGCCAGGCCATAAAAGGCAGCCAATTCCTCTGCCGGCATATCCCTTGCCGGGCTGCTGGCTGGAGCTATTTCAAGCCATTTGCGTCCGTTTCAGTGGAAAACGTTCTAAATGTCTTTTATTACTGTAGAAATGAATGAAACACATACACCCTGATGGGAAAGATTTTCAAACGAAGCCCTCTTGGCATCATTCTTCATCATTTTCAAACTCAAATCCTTTGGTTTATTGAAGACGGGCATCGAAGATTTATTGTACTTCATCCCTGCTCTGTTCTGCTCAACTCTGTTGAATACCAGAATCAAAGTAGTGGATTCACAGTCTAAGATAATGTTGATAGTCACACAGTGTCCACCATTTTGGATCAGTCCATTTGCTGCACATGTTCAGAAAGGTCCAAACAGACAGCAGCAAACCATTTGAAAACAAACCATGCAAAGAGCAGTGTTGCCAACTTAGCGCTTTAGTCGCTATATTTAGCCACTTTTCAGACCCCTCTAGCACTTTGATTTCTAAAAAGCTCCTAGCGCCAAATCTAGAGACTTTTTTCTGCTAATGGAGACTTTGGAGACAACATCTAAAAGCAACGAACTCTGCTCTCCAGAGCAAGTAGATTTGTGACCCCGCCTCCTGCCCTCCTCTGTATGTCTATTCTATTAACATTTCTCTATCTATATAATGGGTCTGTTTATGTGTTGTCTTCTCAATTCAGAGGTCCCCCCTGCCTTTCTTTGCTTAGGGCCCCAAATTTCCTAAATCCGGCCCTGTGCCCATGCATGCTTTGTACTAAAAATTAGTTATGTAATAATAAGAAGAAGCTTATGGAGATACACACATTAGATGGATTAATGGAGGCAAATAGTGTGCAAAGAGCTGTGTCATCGCTGTCCTGCTGAAATGACAGCTATTTACCTTCTTAGGGCTGTGCCACCATTTCTTCCTCTCTGAACCTGCATACATCTGTTCAACACAGCTGAAAACCCTTAAAACAACCTCCTCCATCTATTTTCATCCATACCGATAGCCTGTAGCTGATGTTTTAAAAAAAAAAGCTCTAACAGAGAAAACTGTCAAATGCTGCCTGATTACAGGGACACTGGTGGGCCTCAGTTTGTGGCAGATTAATGCCGTCAGGTAACCGCCAGGCTGAGTTCAAGCCAGTTTTTTTTATCCATTCTCTCCCCAATGGGAGTATAGATGGTAAACGGTGACAGAAGAGATAAAATGGGAATATCTGGATGAAAACACAGGCGGACTCATGATTTGATGTGTGTACTGATGCTGCTTCTTTATTGGCATCCCTTTGTCTACCAGCACACCTGCATCCGAGCCGGAAGCTGGTCTACCCTTGTGGATATCGGAGACTGGAAGTCCCTGTGCATGTTATGGCTTGTACTGAACATTGGGTTCTACATTGGTTTGCCAAATTCCTCAAAACTAGGGAATAAGGGATGTCCAGACTGTCCAAGATGCTTCGTCTATAAAGCCTGCTTATATCCAGGCCAGTACAGTGGAACAACAAGGATTTGTAACACTAAGGATTCTTCTGAGTTATATAAACACTATAATGCTTCACTGCTTTTTAAGTTACCAGCTGTTTGAAAAACATTTGAGTTTAATTCATTTTTCAATCTGTTTTTTTTCCAATACACCCAGGCCACTTTGCTCTGTGGTCCTGAATCCGATACGAATCTGATCTTTTCGTTCAGGTCGGATGATGCGACCTGGTTGTTCAGACTCAGGTCGCATCATCCGACCTGAACGCCGTTAATAACCGACAGGGGTCACTCTGCTGGTTCTTGCTACGCAGAAGTGGCAAGAAAAACAAAAACAATGTTGGACGATAATGCAGAGAGTAATATTTATGTTTTTTTTTTGTTTTGTTTTTACAAACTATTTGCTTTTTAACAGGAATTGCAGAGCCATACATTTACAATGTGATACATATAAAACAAACCATACAATTCCCTTGAGTCATAAAAAACCAAACAAAAAACACAACAAAACGACCTCCAATCACTCCCAGGCAATAAGAAAAAGTCATAAGAAAAAGGACACCCACAGGAGAGAGAAAAAATAAAATAAAATTAAAATTAAAATATATAAAAAATTATTTAAAGAAAAATAAAAAAATGTTTTCGAGACAAACAGTACAGTTTGTGCCCAGGAAAGTATACACGAAGGACTAGACTGGGACAGAATGGAAATTAACCTGACCAACCAATCGCAGTAATGGTTGCCAGATTTCTGGCAGGGATCCAGTTGGAAAAAGGGTCCCAGCGTTCTCTCGCACCTCGCTCTTCTAGCTGGTCCATCTTCACCAGTCGTTTGGGCTTTGTTGGGCTACTGTACAAAACCTGGAATAATTTGCCAAGCTGAAATAGATTTTCTGTTTCTCCGTCATCTCCCTTTATGTATTTTGAGCTGAGCAGGTTTAAACAGAAATACGTAAGCTAAAGAGATTATGTTTTAATTGGAGTATCCTGTATGAGCAGCGCCTTTATTGTGGGTGGTGTTGCTGCTTTGTATAAAGTACAATTTAATGAAGCAAGCAAGATCCAATCTGGTTAAAATTGTGTTCTGTTTAATTCTTCTTTCTGCTGAATTAAACAGAATTAAACTTGCACACAATATTTGTTTTACAGTGATCTTAGAGCAATCTACAAACCTGTGACTGTAGCTCTCTTAAAAGAGGGAAAGAAAGAATTGACTGGGAGAAATGCCAGTGGACGACTTTGTGCTTGTTAATCTAGAAGAAATAGATCTAAATTCAGTTCACACAGATTAAGACAAAAAATAAATTCTCATACATAACAACTCAAACAATTCATTTTTATCATTTCTATTCATTTCAGTTTATTTCTATAGGGCCAATTGACAACACACGTCATCTCAGGTCGCTTTCCATTTCACCAGATCATCCAGTGAGATTGATTCAAAGTTTTCTATCTAAGGAAAACCAGCTGATTGCATCGACTCATTGACTCTTCAGCAATCCCTCACACTAAGCATGCTTGTAGCGACAGTGGAGAGGAAAAACTCCCTTTGAACAGGAAGAAACCTCCAGCAGAACCAGGCTCAGTGTGAGCGGCCATCTGCTGAGGCCCACTGGGGTTCAAGGAGACAGAAGCAGACATAGAAAAAGAAGCATAGATACAAAAGGCAACTGTCAACCAGCTCCACAGGCGGCCCCGTCCAGGAAACACACAGCCAGGCAGACGAGCTCCGAGCAAGCTCCCATGTCAGAGGATGAAGAGAGCACATCCAGTTAGTCACAGTCAGAGAAACAGGACTACACTGGAAAACAGGCCAAGCTCCAACATCTAGAAACAAAGGTGTTGATGGCAGCAGCACAGCTGATATTTCTCTCCAGGATGGAGTCACAGCCAAACAGGAACAGACCAGATGAAGCTACTATGAGAAAAAGCAGTGAGAGCAGAACGTTAGAGATTGAACTAACAGATTCTGCAGAGTGGGAGAATAGAGATAGAATGAAGCAGAATGATGAAAAAGGGGTCCCTATGTCCTCCAGCAGTCTAAGCCTATAGCAGCAGAACTATAGAGATAGCTCAGGATAACCTGAGCCACTCTAACTAGAAGCTTTATCAAAAAGGAAAGTTTTAAGCCTAGCCTTAAAAGTAGACAGGGTGTCTGCCTCACGGACTAAAACTGGTAGTTGGTTCCACAGGAGAGGAGCCTGATAACTAAAAGATCTGCCTCCCATTCTACTTTTAGAATAATGGCTCATTGAAAGTTATTACTGTGCAAACACGTGTTCTTGTCACCTATATTGTGTTTACACAAGCTTTTATTATGCCCATAGAATAGAAAGGTAAACGATTTACTGTCCCACAGTGTTCAGATGTGTTAGCAAACAGGCAATGATCAAAAACATTAAATTAAATCTTACCATGTTAAGCTTGTATGTCCTCTTTTGCTGATAACAGCATACTATCAAATTAGAGAAGTTCTTATTATTGCCCTGCCAATTTCAAAGTCCACAGGGAATTTATTTTCAACAAGCCAATGCACAAATGCACAACACAGGCATTAGATCAATTAGCATCAGCCATAATTAAAAGCTTGTTTATTTAGAGCTGGGACAAGTTATTATACACTTCTAAAATGGGATTTTCAAATTGGGTTCTCAATTAAAAAAGGCAAGAGACTTTAAAGCTCTCAAAGACTTTCCTTTGAGATTTTTTTTGTATAACTTGAACTTAATTTAGGATTTTTTAATATGATTTTTTGCTTTTTGAACCTTTATTAAAACTGCTTCAGACATCTTTATTACAAAAGTGAAAGGATTTCTAGGGTTGTTATTTAAGTGATGAATAAATGAAGAACAGAAACTTTTCTTCTGTATCAAATTCTGCAAACAATATCAGATTTGTTTTAAAGGAATAGTACACCCAAAACATGATTAGCCCTCATTTTCTACTTACCCCCATGCTGAGCAACATTCTGGAGTACTTTTTTGATATCTCAAATGCATCTGGAGATCTGGGAGGCTTCTTGCTGTCTGCTGACATTCAAATAATGGAGGTCTATGGCGCCCGAGGCAGAAGGGTCCATAAAAGTCCACATAAAACGTGTCAATATTCCTCCATACTGCTCGTCCAATGTATTCCAAGTGTCCTGAGTGGGTAGCGTCAATAATTTACTCGAAACGAAGTCATTTAGAATGTTTTTAGAGCATAAACAGTAGTTTATAGGATTTCCTAAAAGCGCGCGCCTGCGCGTTCACGAGTCTACGGAAACCGCGGCAGACCAAACCACATGAAAGTGCGCATTCAGCGTCTGCTCTGCCGATAATGCAAGCGTAGAAGAAGAAATGTGCTGTTTACCTGTGCAAAGACAGAAACAACGAAAGAAAAATGTCTGAGGACTTCAGTGTTGAGGAAGAGCATGAGTTCTTTGCCGAGCTGAATGCGCACTTTCATCTGGTCGTGAACGCGCTTTCAGGAAATCCTATACACTACTGTTTATGCTCTAAAAACATTCTAAATGACTTCGTTTCGAGTAAATTCTGGACGCTACCCACTCAGGACACTTGGAATACATTGGACGAGCAGTATGGAGGAATATTGACACGTTTTTTGTGGACTTTTATGGACCTTTCTGCCTCGGACGCCATAGACCTCCATTATTTGAAAGTCAGCAGACAGCAAGAAGCCTCCCTGATCTCCAGATGCATTTGAGATATCAAAAAAGTACTCCAGAGTGTTGTTCAGCATGGGGGTGAGTAGAAAATGAAGGCTAATCATGTTTTGGGTGTACTATTCCTTTAAAATCACAGGTATTTTTGTTGAAACGAGACATCTAATCTGTCCCTCTTCTCCTCCACTACAGGAAGCCAGCTTGTCTGTCTGGATGCTTTTCAGCGACAACACAGCCGCCCCTCTGACGTACTTTGATCCAAAAGACTACAACCTCAATGCCTCTACGCTGGACGACAAAGTGGTGTCGGTGTCCCAAGAGCCGCAGCAACGTTGGCCTGTGGTGGTCGCAGAAGGGGAGGGATCGGGAGAAATTGTGCGTGTAGAGATGACCATCTGCGAGGCCTGCCAGAAGACCAAACGCAAAAGCGTTATTGCATCTGCTGCAGTTCATGTCAAAGTCCGCTTTGGCCCAGAGGAAGATTCGGAGGAGGAAACCACCACGGAGGGCGAGATTGAGCTGGCCTCTGTCACCAGGAGGACAGTCATTGATCCTAACGTCAGTGGAAGAATTTATGACACCTCTAACGAGCAGCCTGCCAGTGTTCCCGTGGATTACACTAATTTTCCCACCATTAGTAACCAAGAGCAGCCAACTGAGAGTGATGAAGAGGAAGAGGATGACTTTGTGCAATCGCCACGAAACATGACAGACCTTGAGATTGGCATGTATGCTCTGCTAGGTGTGTTCTGCTTAGCTATATTAGTGTTTCTTATCAACTGCATTGTGTTTGTGCTTAAGTACCGCCACAAGCGCATCCCGCCTGAGGGCCAGGCCAACATGGACCATTCCCACCACTGGGTGTTCCTGGGAAATGGCCAGCCGCTCAGGGCCCAGTGCGACCTGTCGCCACAGCAGGTGGAGAGTCCCAGCAATCCTTTGGAGGGGGTACAGACTTGCTGCCATGGGGACCACCACAGTAGTGGCAGTTCCCAAACCAGCGTTCATAGCCAAGTCCATGGAAGGGGTGACGGCAGCTCCGGTGGTTCGACCAAGGATAACGGCGAGGAGGCCAGCTCACCCACCTCCAAACGCAAGAGGGTCAAGTTTACCACCTTTACAACCCTTCCAACAGAGGAGCTGCCCTACAACTCCATCCCGATCGCAGACGAAGAGGACATTCAGTGGGTGTGCCAGGATATGGGCTTTAAAGACCCAGAAGAACTCCACGATTATATGCGCAGAATAAAAGAAATAGCCTAAGAAAGGAGGTGCGTTGTGAAAGCACTGCTCTCCACTTTCTAAAGAGACAGTTCCTTTCTTTTTTTCTCTTTTTTCAAGCAAGAGTGAAAGATAATTTTTCGCAAACTTTGAGGCCAATATGTTGTTCTGGTTAGGGTTTGTTCCATGTAGTTTGCACAGTGCTGTAATCTCATATACCCTCACACAGAAGAGAATGCAAGAAGCCAAAGACTCAACCAGAGGATCTCAATCACAAGAGATGTCTGTGAATCTTGGCTATGGAAACAGGTTTCACTCGGAAGCTGAGCCATGGAGATATAAAAGAGCTGCTCTGGCTCCAGTTTTTCAGGATATGACTTTTGCAAATCCCTGATATGGACAGGAGTATATTTAGTGTTGGTGGTTGTGCTTCAGTGGCTCAGCGGGACCCTGCAGTACTGTACCTTCTCCAAACAATGAGGCCTTTGATGAACAAATAACTTGTCAAAGACTCTAATTAAAAACCAGTTTTAAAAATTATTTAGTTTTTTGCCAAAGTAGAAAAATTATTATTTTAATGGCAAAAACCGTTACTGTTGTCTGTGTAGCACATTCATGATTTTTACTCATCTTCATTACTTACATTTTCTACATTTCGTAGGTAGACAAAAGCAGTGCCCATCTACAATTCCTGACAATTTCAATGCCTTATAAAAATGGTCACGCTTCACATATATCAGTGGAGACACCTTGTTTTCTCACTGTTAAGTTACAGCTTGGTAAAGCATTGAAACACTAAAGCTGTTCTCCGGCCTGAGGAGTCGAGCTTTGCATGAAAAGGTAACCTAAGCCACAATCAGCAATCCTTTTCCCAAATTTGTAAATGTTTATAATGTAATTAAACGATTATTCATACACATTAATAAACTAAATATGTTACTGTGCTATACACGCATGTCATGCCAGGCCTACATACATACAGACATTCCTCTTTGTATATAATTCTGTCAAACTAGAGTTGCCTAAAATGTTGCAATTTACTTTTTCAAGGTGGAAAAACAAGAATCTGTTTAAACTCTTGGAAACTTTATAGTCTTGTGGTGGGTTGAAAGTTGCCCCAAAATGTATTGCTGTGCCAGATGTAGATTTTTTAAACTCTGGAATCTCATTTGACTGTTTAATATACGGATTTGCTATGCATCCATTCTAACAGATCAATATTTAGAAAATGCAATTCCATTCTCCGAGCTTTGCAAGACTAGAGCTTCTGAGAAGGAAGGGAATTTAGAATACGCAAACTGAGCTGTGTTTGAATTGTCCAACTGTTCACTTTTAAGTAATCCTTTCCTAAGGGCCCTATCATGCTACGTTCACACCGGACGCTAGCCTGACGTAGTCCGACTCAATTCTAGTCAGAATATGAGTCTGATGCTGCTCCATAGAGCTGTGATTATGGGGCGTGTTTCGAACGAACCAGGAAAAAAAATGCCTCTGCACTCAATTGGATAGACCTACAACCAATAAGAGCAACGGAGTGCGTGACGTATGTTAAGCGACGCATAGTTGTTGTCAACAAAAATCAAAGCGTGCAGTTGCACGCCTAGAATAAGAAGATGAGCCTTGATCGCGTTTCTCTGTTCCTCTTTTAAAATTAATTACCTGTCGATATCTTCTAGAACAGACCTAATAGCAGAATCTACTCACCTCAACTCTCCAGCGGCAGCCATTGTTGTTGTCACCCAAGCGCGCTTTGGTCACGTGGTTGATTACGTTACTGTTGATCATCTGTCCATCATACGGAGGGGGGTTACGCAAGCCAAGATTATGGTTGTCCTATTTCTATGGTTATTTAATAGTTTGGTTTTTAATGTTTTGTAGACTGAAACTTGGGATATATTTTCAGCTATAATTCAGTTTTATTCAATTGATAAAAACAACAAAAATAAAAATTTTCGAGGGGGTAGCAGCCTTAGTAGGGAGGCCCAGACGTCCCTCTCCCTAGCCACTTTAGCCACCTCCGAACCCCCAGGTGCTCCCAGGGTAAGCCGAGAAACATAGTCTCTCAGGCGTGTCCTGGGTCTCCTCCCGGCGGGACGTGCCTGGAACACCTCACCAGGGAGACGTCCAGGAGGAATCCTAACCAGATGCCCGAGCCACCTCAACTGGCTCCTGTCGACGTGGAGGAGCAGCAGCTCTACTCTTAGTCCTCCCCAGAGGACTGAGCACCTCCCCCTCTCTAAGGGAGAGCCCCGACACACTAGGGAGAAAACTAATTTCAGCCGCTTGTATCCAGGATCTCATTCTTTCGGTCATGACCCACAGCTCATGAGCATAGATGAGATTAAGAAATGCAGATCGACCGGTAAATCGAGAGCTTTGCTTTTTAGCTCAGGTCTCTCTTTACCACAACAGACCGGTAGAGCGCCCGCTTCCCAGAAGACGCCGCACCAATCCGCCTATCAATCTCCCACTCCATCTTCGCCCCATTCGTGAACAAGAACCCAAGATACTTAAACTCCTCCACTAGGGGCAGTACATCCTCCCTAACCTGGAGAAGGCACTCTACCCTTTTCCGGCTCAAGACCATGGTCTAGGATTTGGAGGCACTGATCCTCATCCCGGCCGCTTCACACTCGGCTGCAAACCGCTCCAGTGAGAACTGTAGATCACGCCCTGATGAAGCGAACAGAACCACATCATCTGCGACTAACAGAGACGAAATCCTAAGGCCACCAAAACAGATCCCCTCAACACCTTGGCTGCGCCTAGAAATTCTGTCCATAAAAGTTATCAATGCAATCGGTGACAAAGGGCAACAGAGTCCAAACGAGTCCGACTTACTGCCGGCAATGCAGACTAGGCTCTGCCATCGGTCATACAGAGACCTAACAGCCCTTATTGAAGCACCCGGTACTCCATACACCTGGAGTACCCTCCACAGGACCCCGCGAAGGACACGGCCAAATACCTTCTCCAGATCCACAAAACACTCAGTACGTTGGGAATGATTTAATTTTTTTTTGTCAGTATCACAAAATAATGCTTTAATTTAATGTTTCCTGCTGATTTTTTTTTTAAGTCAACCAAATCCCAAACAAGTAGTAGCTTATGCACCGTTTGGTTATGTAGTGAAAATGTTATGTTGAGTGAGCGAACATTTCAAACACAGCTCTTAATATATTTTGACTGAGCACAGCCTTCTCTAAACTCTACAGAAAATGTGAAACGCTCTTAAAGAAGGTCACTGAATATATTATTGATTTTTCCTTCATCAAACACCCATTTCATGCTGTCCCATTCTTTTAGACATATGATGTTGCGTATGAACTCCATGTTTTATTAATCAGTTCCAATAAACTTGGAATAAATAAGCTAGACCTTGCAAAGTTCCATCAAACTAAGGGATATGAGCAGGACCAAAGTTGATGAACACAGAGGGACAAGAATGATTACAGCTGGTGGTTTGAAAAATGTGGGTGTAGTTGTAAGATTGTGTACACTTCACTGAGAAGCCATCAGCTTCAGTCATTTTAAAGGAGCAATAAGAAATAATTCATTGTTTTAGCTACACTGGAAAAAAACAAAATCTAGCTAAGTAATTTTTTCTTAAAATAAGTGCATTTGTTCTTGGATTGAGGAGATAAAAGAGACATTTTGCCAATGAAACAAGACAATTTACAGTTAAAATAAGAAAACACAATTACATTGTCTTATTTCAAGTGCATATTATCTAATTATCTTGCTTTAAGAGTAAAAATACCAATTCTATTGGCAAACTCTCTCATTTACCTACTCAAATTAAGGGTAAATACACTCAATTTAAGACATTTTCACTTATCTCTAGATTGTTTTTGCAGTATATAAAGAAGTTAAAAAAAAATTAATGTGAAGAACTAAAGTCTTTTTAGATGGAATATGATCTAATGCCAAACGCCATCTCTCTGCGCTGTTCTCTAGTCTCACTTTACAAGCCTGGCCAACCGCACATGTATGTATGTCCATGTGTGTAGTTGCGCTCATGGCTTAACCCCTCCTTGCCTGCAGAGAGCTTAAAAGCGTAGTAGCAAAAAGGCACAAGGCACCAACACACTGGAAAAAGTCTAAATCTAGATAAGTAATTTTTTCTTAAAATAAATGCATTGTTTCTTGAATTGAGAAGGTAAAATAGATAATTTGCCAATGGAACAAGACAATTTACATATAAAATAAGTTAACACAATTGCATTGTCTTATTTCAGGTGCATTTTATCTAAATATCTTATTTTTAAGAGTAAAAATGCTCATTCCATTGGCTAATCATCTTATTTACATATTCAAATTAAGGGTAAATACACTTAATTTAAGAATTTTTTACTTATTTCTAGATCGTTTTCCCAGTGCAGTTCACTTGCTGCCAGCCTTTTAAAGTTCACATTTACTTTTCTGCAGACATGGTCCTCAGAAAGGTAATGCTGTTTGCCGCACTAGAGGTCAGGGAGGGGTTGCAGCTGGAGCGTAGGAGGAGAGCACTGCAAAAACGATCTCAAAATGAGTAAAAATGTCTTAAATTAAGTGTTTTTGATAATTTAATTTGAGCAGGTAAATGAGATTATTTGCCAATGGAATTAGTATTTTTACTCTTAAAATACGCTATCTAGATATTATGCACTTGAAATAAGACAATGCAGCTGTTTTTTCTTGTATAAAGTGTAAATTGTCTTGTTCCATTGGCAAAGTGTCTCACTTCAATCCTTAATTCAAGAAAAAATGCACTCATTTTAAGAAAAAATTACTTATTTAGATTTTATTTATTTTTTTGCCAATTGTTTGTCACACATCTTGTTTTGGTTTACAGACAGAATTTAACAGGTGAAATGTTGCTTACACTGCAAAAAATCTGAATCTACATCTGTCAATTTTTCTTAAATAAAGGAGGAAAGTGAAACATTTTGCCAATGGAACGAGACAATTTACATTTAAAATAAGAAGGTGCAATTGCATTGTCTTATTTCAAGTGCATATTATCTAATTATCTTATTCTAAGGGTGAAAATACTCATTTCATTGGCAAACTATCTAATTTTCCTACTCAAATTTAGGGTAAATACACTTAATTCTGCTTCTGTCTCCTTGAACCCCAGTCGGCCTCGGCAGATGGCCGCTCACACTGAGCCTGGTTCTGCTGGAGGTTTCTTCCTGTTAAAAGGGAGTTTTTCCTCTCCACTGTCGCTACAAGCATGCTTAGTGTGGGGGATTGTATTTGAGTCAATGAGTCGATGCAATCAACTGGTTTTCCTTAGATAGAAAACTTTGTATCAATTTGACTGTATGATCTGGTTGAACTGTAAAGTGCCTTGAGATGACATGTGTTGTGAATTTGGCGCTATAGAAATAAACTGAATTGAATTGAATTGAATTAATTTAAGAAAATGTTACTTATTTCTAGATCGTTTTTCCAGTGCAAAATATCAAAATCTTGTTAAGTCATTTTTTCTTAAAATAAGTGCATTTGTTCTTGAATTTAGGAGATAAAATATACATCTTGCCAATGGAACAAGACAATTTAGATTTAAAATAAAAAAACACAATTGCATTGTCTTATTTCAAGTGAATATTATCTAATTATCTTATTTTAAGAGTAAAAATACTCATTCCATTGGCAAACTATCTAATTTTCCTACTCAAATTTAGGGTAAATACACTTAATTTAAGAAATTTCTACTTATTTCTAGATTGTTTTTCCAGTGTAGCTCCTTTAATCAATGCTTTTTCCATCCTAACTGATTAATTAATTTGGGGATTAATATAAATAAACAGCAACACCAACCAGACATTTTTCAATTCTGATCAATGTGTTTTAATAATTCCAGATTGAAGGTTAACATTATTCCAGCTCTGATCTTTAGTGAAACATTTAGTAGAAGTGACTAATGAGACAACCAGGAGATCAAATATTCCTTCCTGGGATGGTTGCCTCTAATTCCCTGTTCTGGATTTTAAGGGCTTTGATTCTATCTTCATCTTTACTCACTGACTGACTTTTAAAATCAGCATCATCTCACCTGCTTTCATTCTTTCACGATCTTAAAATAGATACAATCCAGATATATTATGCAAACACAAGTTTGACAGGCAACAAAACTACTAAAATAATCATTTTATGTAAATATTGAAACGAAACTTGCTTTAATTTACCTTAACATGAAGTACTTTAGCTCATGAACATGTACATATACCCACCATTGATATTCATAACTCATAAATGGATTAGGTTTACTGTTTTTTTTTTGTTTACTGCATGACCTATTTGTTTTAAATGAGAAGAATGAATGAACCGCTTCTGTTCGGTAAAATGTTTTTTTTTTTTTTTTTTAAGGTGAATATGGAGAACCATTTCATTCAAAATTAAATGTATACTGTTGTTGATAAATGATTTAAAATTCCTTTAAATAAAAAATGTCCTCATGAAATAAAATAAGACGTATAAAAAAAGCATAAATCTTAGCTTATTTT